AAGATACTATCTGGTGAAAAGACTGCTCAGGTTCAGAACATCTAGGGTCTGCAGAAAGGCCACCTACAGCTTGTGTACCATACGCAGCTACTCACAGGAAACCCTTCATGCATCATCAAAAATTAAATGGAACAAAACTCAGTGGACGACCTTAGGGAAGGCAAAGACAATATTTATTTTAAAACAAACCAACTGCAGTAACTCACACGTGTTCTCTTACAGGTACAACTCATGCATGCTCTCAGTCATGCAAGATCTTCTGATCTTTGTGCTGTTCTTCTGTGCTTACCGGTTAGATTGGCACTGGTTGTGTCCCTGACTATCAATACCAGCCATTCTGGCAATCCATTCTGGTGACTTCTAGTACTTTCATACAAACATTTCCATTCATAATTCATGCAAACAACTTCTAACATTCTATTACAAACCTTCACTTCATGTGTTTCTTTTAGATTATGTTCATTATATTAAAAGCAAACCACTCAATTTATCAGTTCTGAGATCACCTTAGGTGCACAGAACCAAACATGATCCCCTCAGCAACAAGAGGCATGCCTATGTATCAGCAGTTTATCAACTTGGTCAGCATCCAGCAATGGTCAGCATGGAACCAGCTGCTTCCTAGTGTGGCCCAGATCAAGTGTGAATGCCAAACTGTCTATTCAGAAGACAGAATTTCTGTAAGCAGCTTTTCATTTTACAAAAGTCTAACAAAATATATCCCAAAAGACGTCCCCACACACGTCTTACTGGGAGATTTCTAATATTTCCCATTTTTAAAAAGACTCCTTCTAGATCTTAATTGCACAGCACCAGACATGACAGATATGCAAATAGTATCAACAGAATGCTTTCCAGAGAAAGAAAATGGCATTGGTCCTGTGTTTATGATAAAGGTTTGGGCCTCAGCAGGTCTGGCAATGAGGATTGCTCTGGTTGGGAAACCTTCATCATGTCCATCTGTTAACCCAGCACTGCCAGGGCACCACTAAACCATGTCTCTCAGCACCACATCTACACAGCTTTTCAACCCTCCAGGGGATGGGAACTCCACCACTGTCCTGGGTAGCCTAGGCCAGCCTTTTCCTTGACAACCCTTTCAGAGAAGAGATTGTTCCTCGTGTCCAACCTAAATCTCCCCTCACACAACTTGAGGCCATCTCCTCTTGTCCTATTGCTTGTTCCTTAGGAGAAGAGACTGGCCCCCACATGGCATCAGCCTCCTTTGAGGGAGTTGTTGAAAGCAAGAAGGTCTCCCCTGAGCCTCCTTTGCTCCAGGCTAAACTGCAGCTCCCTCAGCAGCTCCTCACAAGACTTGTGCTCTAGACCCGTCACCAGCTTTGTTGTCCTCTGGACATGCTCCATCCCCTCAATGTTCTTCTTGGAGTGAAGGGCCCAAAAAATCACATCTACTCACCTTTGCTTGTGGGTTTGAAGAAGAAGGGTGCTATGACAGCAATAGCACTAGCCCCTATGGCTGCTGCATGTCTTGCCTATAAAGGAGAGGATGGGAAGTATGTGAAGGTCCATCTGCTTTGTAGGCATCGCACACAAAGTGAAATGAAATCACACCATACTCACCAGCTCCTGTGAGTCTGGCAGACTCAGGGCTCCCACATGAATGATCACATGATCCAACCTGCAAAAGAACAAATTCAAAAGGTTTGGGGCGGGGGGGGGTTGGTGATGGTGAAAAATTTCGGTCTGCCAAAATAAATTGCTTCAGACCAGGGAGCCACAGAACAAGAACTTCACAGAGCTAAATTAAAGCTAAAAGTGATTGGAACCTGTGTTGACCTGATGAGCAGACGTGCAGAGGAAATGCCAACAGCACCGAGCAGCTGGCAGTGGAAAAAAGAAAACACATTTGCAAATATCAATCACATAAGGCACCTTGCTGTCGTATTTGCAAGGCTGTCAGGAAGGAGAAATTTTAGCATTTTATTAAGACATTAAAGATTTAAGGACAAGCTGGGCAAAGAGAATGATAGCAAAGCATCTTGGCTTTCTAAACTACTGCTCTGCAGAACTGCCAGATGAGTTCAACTGCACAGCAGCACCTCTGACTGCTCCTCTGCTCCTGCCAAGACTGTCTCCCAGGTTCCAGTTCCTTCAGTCCCATTTCTGTGTTTCTCCTTTATACCCACACAAGACGATGAGTCTTCACACCACCTTATTTCTGCTCACTATCCTCCTCACCCAAAACATCCGCTCCTCTCCAGATCCTCTGACATAGCAAATAAGATGGCACCAGTGAGTGACACAAGACTATGACAGGTACAAGAGATGGAGAGTGAAGCTGCAGTTGGTTTCACAGCTGCAAATCTGGGTTAAACTCCTTCTTCTTCTACTGACTTTGCACCTTTAGGGAAGCACCAAACCACTTTATACCTCAGCTTCCCCTGTACCAAAGCACTTAATATATTAAAGAGTTCAGAAATGCTCATGGGGCATAAACAGGCAGATCACTCTTTACCTTCACTTCTTCTCAAGAATAAGCTAAAGGGCACAGCCCTTTTCATACTCAGAGCCCTTTTTTGTCCCCCTGCCCTTCACTGTACCAAAGAGAAGGACTATCATGGGCTCTCTAAGCAGTGGAAATGGACACACCAGCTAACTGGTAGTAACAAAAACACAGGCTTCTCTGATAAAGGAGGCGGGGGACAAAGCCCAACAACAAAATACTCCAAGAAAAAGCAGCCATCAGCAGATGTGGCTTTGCAATCAGGCACGCCTATATCATAATGCGGGGTCAGCAATCCCCTGTTCACTCTCAGCTACTCACTTGTCTTTTCCTTGGCACACCCATTCTTCCGCCAACTGCTTCCTCTCCTGGATGTTAAGGGACAATCCTTCTCCTGTTGTGCCATTCACTGTTTCAACACAATACAACATACATGCTGAGGCCTGGCCTATGTGCATCGGTTTTACTGAAGGCAAGATCTGACGCTTGTGATGATACTACAGAGAAGTCTTTTTCCCCCAGGTAATTTTAAAATGGCAATGGTCTGCCCCAGCCTCTGCACAGGCATCGCAGAGCTACCGTCAGTGAACGCTCGTGGCAGAAACCTGGGGGTTGCAGGATCAGCAGTGGTGGGAGGGAAGAGACAGAATCAGCTGTTGAAACTGGGAAGCTGTTCCCCCAGCACCTCCTCCCCACAAACACCACCTCTGTCTCCCAGCTTTGGGTCAGGCTGTGACAAGTGCAGCTAGCCAGGCAGAGTGACTGCCTATCCTCCACCCCAAGGAAACAGCCTGAGCTGAAATCTGGTCTCTCTGTGATGAGTGGAACTGTATGTGCTACCTAGGCTAAAGCACCCCTGGAAAAAATACGTCAGAATGTTAACTTCATCAACCAAGTTGATGAACTCAGCTTTGCATCTTAGCACTCCTTTGACTTGACATTTAGAACCAAAATCTTATTGCTGACTTCAGCTCCCTTAACTGCACCGCTCCCTTAACTGCACCAGGCTGTGGATGCAGGTGTCTCAGCAGATGCTGTGTTCTCTGCCCAGCCAGGCCTGCTGCCCGCAGCAGCCCCCAAGACAGAGGCAGAACCAAGAGATGGGAGCAGTGACCTCCTTGGTCTCACCCACTGCACCACTGGTCTCCTAAAGAAGCCCACTTGGCTTTGATGAGTTCACTGAATTTCCTGGACTCCTGAACTGATTTTTTAATCAGACGATTGTATCTTGCCCAGGGAAAGGGAAGAATCACTCAGTTGAGTCTTCTCTGTCAACATACCATTATCCATTCATCTTAGGCAATGCCACTCTATAAAGACCACACTTGTTTTATCCCATACAGAAATGGGGTGTAGACAAAAGCAGATTCCCCAAGTATTGTTTGCACTCACTGCACTGGTGATTATAAATGTCTAGGATGATCCCACATCCACAGGCCCCCCTGCTCCAGGTCCTGCCAGGTGAGATATCATAGGATTGTAATCCAGGCAAAAACATGCTTTCTGCCAAAAAAACACTTACCAAAGACACTCTTCACTTTCTGCTCACTCACCAGGTAATCCACATACTGACGAATCACCGAAAGGTTAATTTGCCTGAAACGAAGGGAACCACAGCAACCCTAGGAGCCTCAGCAGCCACAAGTCTCAACTTAAATGAAGAGATTAAGAAAACAGCAACAAAAAGACATGTATCTAATAAAGAAAAGGCATGTATTTCATTTTTACACACACAAACTACCCCAAGGTATGATACCCTCAGCATGTGTTTAACATTTCAGGTAACAACAGTTCAGTTCTGAATTCTTTCTTCCCGTTTCTCCTTCTCCTGACAGATAGTTCACTGTTTCAACCTTTTATCTCAGTTGGCAATTACTTCAGGCTTGTCACAGAAAAGGACTTTTTTTTGGGAGATATGAGAGAACAAGAACCACTCAAACCTTTCTCACTATTGAGAGAAACAGGATCCCCCTGAGAGCACAAAGATACTTGTGCAAGTGCTGGCAAATGGTTAAAACTATACTTCTAACTGCTGGACTCAGACTGTGAAGTGGCATCTGCTGGATGTGACTTTGACCTCTCTCTCTCATCAGAGGATGGGGAAAGCAACAGACTTTCCTGACAAACAGGGGAAACTGAATTCTAGGTTCATCTTCTGTCTAGGACAAACCAATTTGGTTTATCGGTGTGTAATATGTCATCGTTATTTTCATTTGTCAAACAAACAGATCAGCCCTATAGTCTGGAAGGCAAATGTGGGACCTTGACTGGGTTCACACATCACCCAAAATTTCATGTCTGTTTTCACAGAACATGTAAGGGCCAGGCATTCCAGGCATTGGGCCCAGGTCACTCCAAATACCATGTTGCAATGAACTGGAGTAGTAGTAAAAAATGAAATTGGAAACAAGTTTCCTTTAAAGTAAGAAATGAACAGCAGCAACTGCCAAGCAGATGAGTCCCCTGGCTGAGACACAGTACTGTGCTTTACAGCTCACTTTTGGAGGATCATGCTATCAGGTCTCCACCATTTCCCTCAAAACACACACAGATTGACACATGCCCCATCAGAGCAGCTCAGGGTCCTTTGCTGACTTCAACAACTCTGTCTTGCAACATCAGAACTCAGTAGGGAGGATATCTGTTTAGCATTGCTGCCCTGAGGAAGGCTGATTTTCAGCTTCCGATTTGACGTTATTTTTAGAACTGTGCAGCCCTTGCAGTATTTTCTGCTGGTTTAGATTAACTCCATGCACACATACACACATGTGAACGCTTGCTGAGTTAGTTAGGGTAAAGGAAATTTCAGAAGGCCTTCAGATTTTGACAATTATCTTTAGCTCTCAAGAGCTCTTTTGAACTAGGACTGTGATTTGCCTTAACAAGTGGGAAAATATTGCGATCCTCTATGCATGTAACCTTACTATGATTCCATTTGCACCTACAAAAGTGGCAAAAAAAGGGATGGGAGACCGATCCAAACTCTCCAAACCCAGGCCCACAGCATTTGTTGGGCAACAGGAAGATGCAGAGGGGAAGGGAACCCTCTCTAGTGCTAGCGGGACCAACCCAGTAGTTCCTCCATCCCATCAGAAATTTGTTTTTTAAAAAAACAGCAACACACGAACCTCATCAGTTCCAAGTAAGGCAGAAGGAAAACAGAAGTCTAAGGCAGCAGTAATCAGTGCAACTTTGACAACTCACCCATCAGGAGTCATTGGAGTGACTGTAGCAGCTACAAGACCCTGTAACTTCTTTCTGGGTGTCATTGAGCTGTTTGGAAAGACAAGAGATAAACATGATCACCACCCTTATTTGAGTGTTCTTCAACTTCTGTTAAAAGCAGAACCAGACAGGCAAAGTTCAGAAGAAGTGGACTTTGCAAGGCTGTTAATTTTGGTTATAGAGGACAGTCTTTTTGTTGTTGAAAGAGCACTTCCTGCAGGCAGCACCGCAGCAGGGCTGGGGGCAGCTCGGCAGCTCCCTGCAGCTCCGGACGGGACTGGCAGCACCAGCTGCAGCCGCGTTTCAGACCCATCTCCCACTCACCCTCCCGCTGCCCCGCGCAGCCTGTGCTCTAGCACTTACCTGCTCACGCCTGGCAGCCCGGCAGGGAGAAGTTCCGCGGAGGACCGGGCTCCGGGCCCCTTCCCCGAGCACTGGCCTCGCACCGGTCCGCCAGCAGACCCCTG